ACCATATAGGGCTTTCTGCTCCTCCATCCTTTGCAATGCCTCGTGGCCTTTGCACCTGCTGTCCCCGCTGCCAGACAGTTGTATGACCCAGATCTGCACTCTGGGGATCCTTCTGGTGAGAGAGATCATGCTGCTCCAAGAAGCCTTTCCCGGCCTCTCCAAAGGGCAGGTAATTGTGCTGCCTGAGTTCTTCACAGGTTCTTCCTGAAAGGATCTTGTTCTTCAGTGTGCTTGTTTCCTATCTGTCCCCATGGGAATAAAATTTCATGATGGGCTTGTTCACTATGAAGCCTCCAGGGCCTGACCAGCAGTACACCCTGAATAAATATGTGTTGAATGGAAGGAGGAATCCATATAAAACCCACTCCTCAGGGTGCCCCAGCCCAGAAAGACCCTCTCTTGGAACTGATGATACTTGTTCCTGCAATATTCTTTAAAGACCCCAACAGATCAAATACCAGCTCTCTGAGGGCATCCTTTGCCTTATTCCTGGTGCCTGGTAGAGGGGACGGAACACCTCATGTGTTCATTAGCTGGTGGTGGTTGCTGGTTCCTCCCTCCTTTGGACTCTCTTCATATCGTAAAATGAGCCAAAGCTTCATCGTAGTCTCAGGAGCTGATAGAGGTGTTTCCTTGTGTCCCACTCCTGCTTCTGTTGGTAGTGATGAGATCAATACGCCCTGTATTGCCTGGAATGGTTCATTCTAACAAACAAAACCCTGAACCTCCATGACTTAACACCATGCCATCTTATTTCTTGCTCACCCAAAATTCCATGTAAGAGAAGTGGCATTCCACATTTCAGGACCCAGACTCATTCCATCTTGCAGCTCTGCCATTGCCGAAGGCTTGAGGGTTCTCCCTTGAATTTCTGCATTCAACTTGAAAAGGCGGGAAGAGACTTTGGGGGTTTCACAGGCTCCCAAATGCTCCGCCTGAAAGGGAGGCACATCCCTTCCTCCCAGATTCTTTTGGACATAACCGTAGCCACAATTAACCTTACGAAGGCGAGGGCATGTGGTCTGGCTATGTCTCCAACAGGCAGAGGAAGCAGGGGTGAGGGAACAGGCTTCTGTCACAGGCTCCAGTGCATAGATGCATGCAGAATCCAGGCAGTCTTTTCAACAAAGGATTTCCTGCAGGTGCAGCCTTGCAGCTTCTCCTTGACCTCACCCCTGACCGAGGAACACTCAGGGACTAATCAGGTTACAGGTACAAAGACATAATTAGTGCCAAGAAGTCCAGCATGTGACTTCAAAGAAGACTATTCAAGGCCTGCTGACCTTTCGGTATTGATCCATAAATCAGTAACTTAAGGCAAATGCAGCACCATCCTATTGGTCTTTGCAGAAGAGGCTGTTCTGCGAGGTTCACCTGAGAGTTACCTGGTGAAGACATGGGTCACCTGGGGAGTGCGAATATTTTGACCTTTTAACATCTGCTTGTGGAGCTCCGGGAAGAGATGAGAAAGGGGGAAGGACAGAGAGAGGAGAGTAAAAGTGGGTCTGAATTTTAGTATGGTTAACCTGGAAGAACTTAGAAGTTTGATGATTCACACAATAAACATCAGTTTCTCCTGCCATACTTCTTAATGTGGATTGGTAGGGGACTTTGCTCTCCCATTGACTTGCTGGGCTGCTGGCTGGGAGGCCCACCTTGTAGCAGCCGCACCATCTCGAATGGTCCACTCTGCTCCAGGGCAGGGCAGGGCAGGTACAGAGTGAGGAGTCACAGGTGAGCTTTTCACTGCCCCACCAGAGAAATGACCGCCATGACTTCTGCTCACATTTAGTTGGTCAACTGCCAGGGGCTGAGAAGTGTAGTCATCCACGTGCTGGGAAGGAGAGAATGACAGGTCTTGGCGAACACGGACTGTCCTCAAAGGCACAGCATGGATTCCGCAGAGGTGCTGCTTCTGGAAGGATGATCTCTTGCTGGCCTTACCAGGAAGGGTGTGCGATGTTCCCAGTACTTACCCTGCACTCAGCATCAGAAGGCTTTACCCACTCTTGAAAGAGACCATTCATTGGACCAGGCCTTTCTACTTCCCAGCCATTTCATGAATTTTGGAGAATTGGGAAGAAAGGGAGTTTCAAAAATTTCTTCGGCATCTTCAGGAGGGATTGATCTGGTGGCTCTCGCTTCACGCTAAGGTTTCCCAAACTTCATTTCTCACCATCTTCCTGAGTATTGTCATAGAGAGAGAAGATGATGCCTGCACCCATATCAGTAGAGAATGCTAAATTCACTACTCATTTCCCATCTTCATAAACATACATAACTTGATATTTTTTAAACAAAACGCATCACCAAGTAAAAACAAAAATAATAATCAAAATAAAAACAAATCGATGTTAATAGCTTGAGCTAGATGTTGTCATTGTGCAGAATGAGCTTCCCATTTTGTTTAAAAAACATTTGCAATTACTAAGAGGTTGTTTCAGAGTAGCTCAGGCCTGAACTTTTCTCCTGGATGCAATCAGAAGGATTGGAAGAGAATGGCTTCAGTTTTACAGGATGCCCCATCTTTAGAGGGCCCGCCAGCATCCTCTCATCCACCAGTGGCATAACCCCTGCAGTACTTGAATTCCAGCTGCTTTCTGCCATTATCAACCCTCAAACAAAGTTGGCATTTCTCAAAAACTGCTACAGGGAATGTTTTTGTTTTATCGAAAAACAACAACAAAAACTGATTAGTGTAAAAGCCTTATCCACACAGCATGAACAATTAGTGCAATGTAATTACCGACAAAATTAGGCTTATAAATTGATTTATGGCCCCGCAGATGAAACACATATTCTTGGAGGAAAGCAGATTTCTTACAACTAACTTGAGAGAGACAAGGTGGGAAGTTGTCCCGGGGCAGGGGCTGGAGTTAGGGACCTACGAGCCCTCAGCATCCATCTCCAAGTCTTTCTAAGTTTTGCTTCCCCACAATTAGCTGTGCTAATTACCCAAGAAGATTAGATGTACCAGGGAGAATGGCATACTGGAGAGAGAAAAAGTACCAAGCCATTCTTGCATCTTATTTTAGCCACTGATTAGGTATCTGAAGTTGCAGCTTCCCAAAAAAGCTTCCATATCAAAGAGTCGGAAAAACTTTTGTTTAGCCAACTACGCATAATGAAGAAAACGTTTAACATTTTAGGCAGCAGCTGGAACTTGACAGTCACCTTTTGTCTTCACACTACAGATAGAGAAACCTTTTGCAATGGCAAAAAGTTATTTGATGATTGCAATTCAGGGGAAAAACTCAATTTGATTTAGAAAAACATGATTGTTTTTAACGAAGAACAGGGACCACTTGTTTCTAGTCAATATGTTTGAGAAATGTTTTACAAATAGACTCAGTGTCACAAATAGATGATTTACAGATAGACTCAGACGCACTGTAGTGTTAAGGATGGAACCTGGATTATGCATTCGGTGCGGGCATCAATTTTGACACTCAGAGACCAGGTGAAGGTGTCCAAGAGACCAGGTGAAAGCGCAGCTCTCTCATCACTCAGGTGAAGGAGAAAGGGGACCAGTGGTTTCAGCAGGTGTTCTGCAGGCGGGCAGGATCAGCATCACCTGAACTTTTTAGAAATGGAGATCTGAAGTCCCACCTTGACCTGCCGAGTTAGCTCTGGGGTGGGCCCAGCAACCCAGGTCTAACAAATTTTCCGATGACTCTCCAGCTGGCTCAAACCTCAGAAACAGTGAGAGATACAATCTCTTAAGGTCTTTGCAGCATTGATTCTTAGGAATTTTATAGGTGAGCGATACAAACAGAAAAGGCAACAAGTTTAAGAAACAAACAAAAGATATTCAGATAAGCAGATATAGAATAAAAGAAAAGAGCACATCTCAAAGGGCATGAACCCAGAAAGACAATCTTCTATAGAACAGCAGTTGCTTTTTTGATCTTCCTTGAAACTTTGAAAGCTAAAAACTCTTAAAGCATTGGTATATTTCTGCAACTACAGGCATACAGGATAAAAAGTCCATTGCCCCCTCAGTCAGATGATAAAGACCCATTTTTATCTACTGAGGCGAATTCACCTCGTTAGATTCAGGGGTTGTTGGTTTACAATATTCCTTAAATATTCTGAATGCTTTTCCTCCCTCTGAGCTTTGATGGGGTTAATTTAAAGGCTCTCGTGGAGCAGAGCAGTCCTTGGTCTAAAATTTACAGGACGGTGCTTAGGGATCTTGATGTGGGGATGTCTTAGTTGGAGATTCCGGGAGGTGTGAGTGAGAACCATGTCTTTTATCTTCTCAAAGCAATGTTGTCTTCTAATGGATCCATTTCCTGTTTCCAGTGAGCCCTGGGGAGTATACATGAAATGTTTCTAGGGACGCTAACTTGGGGGATCGTTCTGGGACGGGGCTTGAGGCCAGCATGACCTCAGTGTGGCGTGTGATTTCCTCACTCCGATTCCTGGGAGATGCGCAGGGCGGGGCGAGGGCCCCTCTCCAGCCATCCATGCGCTCTCCCTGGCGAAGAGCCTCAGGTGCCCCCGGGCTGGAGGACCTCCCCTGGGCCTGAGGTTTTGATGACGAGGGGAGGCCGTTGGCCAGCTGGACACCTGTTGGGATAGTGGGCGGCTCCGTCCTCGGGGTGCCCCAGCGCTGGGAGCCCTCGCCCGCCGCCACCGCGCGTCCGCACTCGCAGGGAGGGTGGCAGGGAGGGTGGCAGGGAGGCTGGGCGTGGGGTGGCCAGGGGGAGGTGGGATTTACTTTGCGGATTGGGGCTCACAGCTGTCACTCCGAAAGGGTGGGGCTTTTTAAAAGCAGACAAATTTTTAAGGCGAAAGCCCCAGCCGGCTCCGGGCACCGTGGCGATCGCCTCAGTTCCGTTCCGGATGCGGTCCTTGCGGAGCCGAGCCCCCGCGCCGCCTGGCAGGAGGCAGCTGCGTTGCTCGGCCGCGTCCCCGAGCCGGCGGGCCCTCCTCCGCGCACATCTGGCCCGCCTCCCCCGGGCGCAGGGGGGAGCCCCGCGTCTTCGGAGCCAGCCGTGCGCTCCGCGCGCGTAGAGCCCCGCGAGCCCCAGCCGGGCCCGGGGCCGGGCGGGCCGAGGCGGCGGCCGGGGAGCAGCCGCACCCGCCAAACTTTGGGTGCCGGAGCGCGCGCGCGCCCGAGGCCCGAGGCGCAGCGGCCGGCCCGGGATGGGGGCTGCGGGCCAGGGAGCCCCGGGCCGCCCAGCCAGCCCGGCTACCCGCCTGGGGGGCTCCGCGCCTCCTCTGCCCGCGCCCCGGGCGCCGCAGCCCCGTCACCCCGGCGCCGCCCGCGCCAGCGCCCGCTAGCCAGCTCCGGAGTCGCCGGAGCCCTGCGCCTGGAGGCGCCCCTGCCTGGGCCACCGGGGGCCACTCTTCGCTCGGGTAAACAGGAAAGGAAATACCCCTCGTGGATTAAAATAAAAAAAAAATCTGTTGGGGGCGAAGGAGGGAGGTGGGGTTTGCCTGCGCGCGTGTTGGACTCCAGAGAGCAACTCAGGAGCCCGCGCGCGGTCGTCGCCTCCCGGCCCGGCCATGGACTGGCGGGAGGAGGGCGCAGGGCGCCTGGGCTGCTCAGGCCCCTAGCCGGGCGCTCCCTCGCCACCGGCCCCGCTCCGGGCCTCTAGGGAACTGAGACGGTCTCTTCTTCGCCTGGACGGCGCCGGGGAGCGGAGGATCTGCGCACCGGGTCTCCAGGATGTGCCCGTCTGAGATGGGGACGCTGTGGCACCACTGGTCGCCTGTGCTCATCAGCCTGGCCGCCCTGTTCTCCAAAGGTGAGGACGCCGCGGCCGCCCCGCGGCCCGGGAACTAACTTCGCCTGGAGTGAGTGTGTGGGAGTGTGTGGAGGATGGGGGCGGCCGGGAGAGAGGGCTTGTGTGTCTGTGTGTGTGCTTGTGTGCCTGTGTGTGTGTGCGCGCGTGGGAACGTGCGCTCCTGCAGCAGCCAAGCTCCTCAGACGCCCCTTGGCCGAAGGTGCTTGGCCTGGAGCTCTTGGGTGGGAGGCCGTAGGTGAGACTGCTAAGGAGCCCAAAGGAAAGGAAGGCCGTTTCCTGAAAGCCTTTTCTGTAAAGGGAGGGGGCGGGAGGACTGTTGAGAGGAAAGGTGGCCTCTGGAGGGCTCAGCCGGCTGTCGGGGGAGGGGATTGAGATGACCAGCAAGATTTCTGGCATTTGAGTTTGACTTTTCCTGGTGGCACTGACCTATTTGGAAATAATTTTGGAGCACTCCTGTTGTATGGGAATACTATTTCGTGTATTATAAGCTGCCAAAAATATAGCCTGGGGGGTAGCTCTGAAGAAGGGGGCTGGGTTTCTCCAGGTCTGCCGCTGTGGAGGTTTGGGCACAGGGTCTGGCTCTCACCCTTCTGTAGGGTGCTGGGAGCGGCGGCCCCGCAGGGTGCACGTGGAGTTTCAGCTACAAGTTGTGACCCGAGTTATCCCAGCGGGGCCCTGACTTGAAGCCCTGTGTCAAGGCAGGAATTCTTCAATGCTGCCTCTTCTCTTCTGCCAGCATCCCTGTCTGTCATGGGAAGAGCAAGTTTGGAAGCTCTGGACAGTCATTCTAACTTGAAGAGAAATGGTGTGATTTGTGCGGGCGATTCTTTCTCATGATTGACCTGGGCTGTTCGTGTGTGGTTCCCCCACCCGGTGCCCCTTTCCTGCAGATAAACACACGGGGAGGAGAGTGAAGCGTCTCGGCTCTCTCTAATACGTGCTGCCAGAACACTGTACCGATATTTTTCTGCGAAGATTTTTGAGATGAGATCGCTCTCAGAAACTTCAAAGCCAATTATCATGCACAAAGTCTTTTAATTACATGAATTGTCTGTCTCTGAGTTCCTCCAGAATCACTGAGGTTGTGTTGCTTTGGATCTGATAATAGATGAAGACAGTTCAAATGCTGAGTTTCTGTGCTGGTTCGATTTAGAAAGAGGAATTTACGTTCACCCTACTTCCCTGTCTTTGAAGTGTGGTTGAGATGGGCTCCTGTTTCCTGATTATGAGTGAGAACAGTCCCTGGGATCCGAGCTTTCTGGATTTATAATGTGCACAGGAAGCCAAAGAAAAGGTTGATGAATTCAATGAACCTGGCTCAGGCAGACGTGAGATTAAAAAAACCAAAATCCACAGCGACAACAGCCCAGCATTTTTTTTTTTTTTTTTGGTTGGTTCTCACTTGGTTTTGTAATAGATCTAGACTCCTTTGTGTTTATGCTGCAATAACAAGGTTGTATTAAGAAAGGTACAGAATAGCTTTGGAAATAAGACCGCACTATTGTGTTTTTTCACTTAGGTACATAGGTCTGTTACTGATTTCTTTATTAGACTGAGCAGTGTTGAAGACAATTGTATTTCCCCTGATACTTGTGAACTTTTTCAACTGGGAACACTGAACATGTCCTTAAATGAGGTAGTCTGTGCTGTGGAAGCCTCTTTACTAGGTGGCCAAAAATTAACATGTAAAATGTTATGATAAGCTTAGCATATGACATATTTTGTGTGTTGAACTTAAGTCAGCCAGACAGTTCAAAAGTGAATCGGTTCTGTGTGGAGACTTTGTAAGCAATTAGCAGAGTCTGAGCACATGGTAGATGATTCAGGATTAGTCACAATATGTCAAAGAACAAGAAAAAAATTAACACCCCTATTAGCAAATTGTGTAAAATGGAATTTCGTGATGCAGATATGATTTATAAATTCAGGGACAGGCCCGTTCTTTTCCCAGTGTATTCATATCACCTCCCTCTAAGATTCTCTGATCACTTGAAAGTTGTCACCAGCTTGCAATCAAGTATGGACTGTATTTAAAAGGATTTTAATTGGAAGTAAACCCACAAACACACACACACACACACACACACACACACACCCCAAAGTGCCTCATTTGTGTGGGGCTGATTGAAAAAGAATATTATCAAGTATTAAATACCTGTTTCCACATAGTATCATTTTTACTGTATTGTCTTTCCAAATAGGAATTTTTGAATGAAACAAAATGCAGATTTTAATACCAGGTTAATATGCTCGAGCCTTACACGTTTATATTTCATGAGCAGAAAATGATTAGTCGTAGAACAAACCCATCGTCTTGTAGATATTTTTTTAAAAAACAAATAAAAATAAGATTTTATTGCTTGTACTTCTATGCCCCTAGGACCTAGAAAGTGTGGTATGACACACAAAGTTTCCCCAGTAGCTTTGTCCTATGGCCCCTAACTTTTGTGGAGAATGGCCTTAAATGTTTAAGGTCTGGCTTTGCTGGTACCTTGATGTAGTTTGCAGTGGTGCCAGCCTGCAGATGAGTTTTAATGCATTACTATGAACTTTGTGGGAGGGGGCAGGTATATGGAGGGTGGGCTGAGAAGAAAAATTAGTGAGGAGATTGGAGATGGGCAGAGGGCAAGGTGATTTTTAAATACAAAGTCAAGAGTGTTGCCACATTTAGGTTGCTTGTTACAATCCTCACGTGCATCCTTCCCAGTTATGTTCCCTTGCACGTGCTGGTAAGAAAGAAGCAGAGGCTGAGAGATCTGTGACGTTGCAAGCGGGGCTGTGGCACTGTCGTGGTCCCTGTGCCTATGGCGGTGCTGGGCACGTGCTCTGCCTGCTTCCAGCTGAGCGTGGCCAATGGCCTGGGCAGTGGGCTTCTTGGAGCGCCTTCCTGAAGCTGCTTCTATGTGTAGAACTTCTAGCCTCTAATAATATGCTGAAACGGATGTTTAATACTTGGTAATATTCTTTTTCAATCAGCCCCAGACAGTTCAGGCACTTTGCATTGTGTGTGTGTGGTGTGTCTGTGTGTTTACTTCCAATTAAAATCCTGTTAAATATAGTTCATATTTGATTTCCAACTGGGTGACAACTTTCAAGGGATCAGAGAATCTTAGAGGAGAGGTGATATGAATATATTGGGACATGAACTGAACTGTCCCTGAGCTTATAAATCATATCTGCATCAGGAAATTCCATTTGACACAATTTGATGACACTGAGGCGTTAACTGGGTCAGAGTGAAGCTTCTGGGTAGGAGAGTACCACCCCTTATTTAAGGAAGCTGTGGACCAAAAAGAGCTTCAGAATACAGTGATAACTTCTTTAGGGGTCAAGGACTTTTTGGGAGAGGAAAGAATGTCAGAAGGGAGCCAGTTATGGGGGAGAGAGTGACTTTTTGCTTACATTCAAATTCTGTCAAATTAAAAGGACAAAGAATGAAGAGACCACTAAGTTTTGTTTTGTATGAATTAAAGAGTTAAAATATGATTTTATTAAAAATACTTATGTGTATAGAAAGGTAGAATTCCAACTTTGAGGATCTTTTTAACTTAGTTATGTTCTAAGAGCCAAGAAAAAATGAGTAAACAACAAAAATTTCAAAAATATTTTATTATAGAAGCTGTGCTACACAATATTTAGAATTTATCAATCAATTTTTCTGTTAATCTAGGTGTTATCCATCTTTCCACCCATGCATTCACCCATCATTCCATCTGCCCATTCATCCACCAGTCCATCCATTCATATCCATCCATCCATCCATCCATCCATCATCCACCCATCTGTCTGTCCATCCACCAGTCCATCCATCCATCCATCCATGCATGCATCCATCCATCCATCCATTCATCCATCATCCATCCATCTGTCCATCCATCCATCCATCCCTCCATCCATCCTTCCATCCATCTGTCCATCCATCCATCCAATCATCATTCCATCCTTCTGTCCACCCATCCTTCCATCTATCCATCTATCATTTCACCCATCCATTCATCATTCCATGTATCTGTGTATTTGTTCAACAAATATCAAAGGCCACATGCCTTCAGTGAACACAGAGCTCAGCAGGAACTATTTCCAAGTGTTGTGAGGACATAGGGCCGGTACTAAAGCGTCCTTAGGTAGGGATGTTTAGTGCCAGTCATTCTTCTAGATGTCAAAGTGCCTCACACCATCGCTCCGTTGCTTTAAATTGTAAGCTGAAACCTGGGCAGTTGCATATTCATCAGTCCCCTCTTTCTTCCTTCCCTCCTCTTTCCTATTTCATAACTGTTAACTGCCTTCTGAGCACCAATGATGTACCCCATACCGTGCTGGGCACAGGGAGTACCGTAGTAAGGAAAAGCCCAGGTTGATATGGTTACCGTTCCCAGAGAGCTTGCCATTTATAGGAGAGATAGGGGCACATGTGAATTACACAGAAAAATGTAAAGTTAGCACTGTGGGTGTGCTGTGGAGGATGGGGCGAGTGTCTCTGGATCTAGATACTTTGGCAGTTGACTTAGAGTAGCTGGGAAGACTCCCCTTGTCCGAAGGATAGGCTGGCATTACTGGGTGGACTGGGAGGAGTCAGGACTACCGAGGTGATCCACATAATCTCCCATCTTGAGTCCACCAAGAGACTGGGACACTGGGGACTCACGAGGACAGTGTGGCCAGGAAGGTTGGGGAGAGAGCCCTGTGGATTTCGGGACTGTGTGAAGGGAGAGGAGAGAAAGTGCTGGGTAGAGCTGGGGTGGGCAGAGGTCAGCACCCTCTTTCACTCCCAAAATTCTCCAGGTGGATGACAGATCCCGCAGTCACTGTTTCATAGGCCATGTTGAGGCAGTTTGTCATTCTTTAAAGGTAGAAGGAGGGCAGGATGGATTTTTAACTTCTATACAAAGTATGTATACGTTCCCTGTGGCTGCTGTAAAAAGTTGCCACAAACGTGACTTAACAGAAGGGCATTCCCTGCAGTTCTGGAGGCCAGAAGTCCAAAAGCAGCATCACTGGGC